TATACGAGTTAATTGTTTATCATGGAACCTTTTCGTTGGATGCTGCTTTTAGAAACGTTTTATAATATTTTTTCTTGCAATATTCATTGATATTATAAAGTACACCCATAACATCCATCATGTCCCTTATTGTAATTTTGGGGTCGAAGTCGATTTTTAACTATAAGATATTTAACTCTGAATGACTAACTGACTGAGTTTAGTTTTACGCCGCTTTTAGCAATATTCCAGCAATATCACGGCGGGGGGACACCAGAAATGGGCTTAACACATTGTGCCCATGTGGGGAATCGAACCCGGGCCTTCGGCGTGACGAGCCAACGCTTTAACCACTAGGCTACCCCGCCGCCCCAACTCTGAATGAAGAGATGAGGATTTTGTTAGATCCACAAAAGAAGTTTGCAAAGAAAGTTGAATATATAGAACGTTTAATAGGATATTTTGGGGATACATTGATGTACATTGTCAACCTGAAATTATATGAACTTGTTATTTTTGCTTCTTTTGATATTAGCTATCTACACCTTGCAAATTGATATTTATTCTTCTATTTTCATGCCTTATTGTTATCAAGAGTACAATATCACTTAGAAAGTTCCTGATTTTCCCCTTAATTTCTATATTTCCAGCATTCCATTGGGGCAGTGTTGGAAAAACTGAAAATGACTAACTGATCTTGACCTGAAACAGGTATGTGTACTCCAAACCCTTCAGTAAATGATGTACATAAAATTATCCAAATAATGTAAATCCTGTGAATCAGAAACATACATAAAAATTACACAACCACTATTTTCGTAACTTCCAACTGGAAATATTTTCCACTTATACACATCTCCTTTCAGAAGCAGTTTGGCAGTTTTGGACGAACAAGAGGGTTCGTTCACCTAGAAGACAAAGAAGTGGGAAAGCAGAGGCCTTTGTCCGCAAAGAACAACAATAGATTCAGATGTGTTAGTAAATACTAACCGTTCTCAATTCTAATCTTACACAGGTTAAACTTTAAGGAAAACCTTATTTGAAAACAAATCCAGTTAATGTAATTTCTGGAAAATGTACACTGATATTCCCAAGAACTTTCAAAATAAACACTGTTTAATACGTGCAATGTATAATTATACAGCTATCTCCAGCACGTTATTTTGACTGAGAGAAGGTGCAGGTGGATTTCAGTAAGTTTCTCTTTAAAAGACCTAACCTGAATCATCTTTGAAACATTCGCATCTGTGTGGAGGCTTGTTACTAATCAAATATTACAGACTTTAACCTGGAAGGGTGAAAAAAGAACTTTGAAAATTCCAGACACTTCTTATATCACGGCCGTGATATTGCCGGAATATTGCTAAAAGCGGCGTAACACTAAAGTCACTACCTCTTAAATCACGTGACAGTGCTTATCATTCAGTTCCGATATTGCCTGTCCGAATTCTAAATAGTGAAATCAACTGCGCATAGTAGACATCAAAAGAAATCAAATCAAAACTGCTTTCAGAGACCAAACACAAGACAAAGGTGCTTCACAAAAAACATGCTTCTGCCATGTTTCGGACAACATTCTGACGCCAAAAGAACACCGTGACAATTCCGTCAGTGACCGAAATACCTTGACAGCGTAATCAGACACCAGATGATTACGAGGCTTCTGTTGGCCATTTTTCCTGAAATGTATCCAGTGTTTCCAGCGAGGTGTTTTACTGAAGTACAACTTCTACCTCTTAACAATTGCTTTACCCAAGACTGATTCCGCCAATTCAGTTTCACTCAATAACATATCATACCTTTGTTCGATAGTTACAGATTCCTATTTTCAGTGAGTGAATAGGTACTCAACTACGCACTGACCTTTCATAATAGCTTTCCTGTATGTCTGAAGCTTAAACACAGGATATCTGCTTCTCTGCGGCTCATATTTTGTGACAAAAACATGTATCATGACACGAAACATGCCAGTATCATGAGCCTTGATCGTGCTGTCGTAAACAAATAATCAAATCGATTATCCTTTTAATCAAGAACAAGGATTTCTATGGATCTGCTGTGATAGCATAACAAAACGTCAAAAAATAATTTTCTTCAATTTCGTGGTCATTAGGATACATGGGTGGAATCAGCGTGGTGGAATCATTACAGATTTTCAAGATTTTGTTTGCATATTTTAAAATTTCTCATTAATATTATACCCTGGGAGATTTTCAAATTTCTTAATATGTTCCACAGATCTTTTTCGTGGATTCGGAAGTCTTTTATCTTCCTAGTTTGTCCATTGATTTCTCAGATTGTTCTTTGCTAGTTACTAGTAGAAGTATACCTTTCGGTGTTGCCATGTACATGTAGGAGTGTACATTTCTGTCAACTGTGATTGCTTCACTCACGCAGCATGAATCTAAAAGTTCTGATTCTACTTTTTGAGACACAGTGAGAAACAAAGACAACACCATAGTTGCAGTGCCAACAACTCGAGCTATACATGTTATGTAAATTTAATATAATGACTTCACTTGTGACTTCTTACCAACACATTTTTTTTTATGTAAACACCTCTGGATACAGGTCTTTAACACACAGAGGCATAGTTGTCTTAATAGTTTCTACTGGTGGTCAGTGAACTAGGAAGGAAATTGTAGTATATGTATACAGCCATCTATTATTAACATCAGCACAGAGGCTTCTGGATATGTGAAATCTCTTAGAACAAAAACCTGGTAACTGAGACACCTCAATATTTGACAGAACTTTTGTGTCAGAGATACAGATTTAGGGTGTCCGAAAAGTAATGTTTTACGGACCTTGAACAGGTTATTAATTGAAGAAGAATTTTATGGATTGAATTCCGAATCCATCTGCACATCACAAATGTTTCATGAAGAAGTTGGAACTATACTGGCTTGATTGCCAAGACTTTCTTATCTTCCGCCTCAGTCTGCGCATACAATATTCTGTCAGGATTCAAACTGTGGAGATATGCATCGTCACTTAGAAGAGGCATACCTCTGACTCCCATTAACTCAGTCTACGATGTTCCAATGACAAGGATATCGTCCTTGAACTTAAACATAGTTATCGAACATAATTGACGCAATGTCATAGAGTCTGTTACATGAATAGTGTTTAGCAGCTGTGGGGACCTGGGTTTATACAATCCAGCAATGGCTAATGAAGTCTTGTAAGGTCAGTTTGGAAAATAAACATACATGATACCGCATAAATCCAAATGAAATGTGTGTGTTTGACATACGGATTACCATATGCGCACTTCCTGAAAGCCCTATCCAAATGATACCTGACTCCAGTGCCCCGTTCCTCAAAGCGATCGTAGCGCTAAGGTGATCGTAACTCCCATACTTCAACATAGAATTACGACTGTCGTAGCGCTACGATCGCTTTGAGGAACGGGGCCCAGCATGACAAACATCGATATAGTTTTTTGGGTGTAAATTGTTAGGGCTGCCTGAGCATTGAATCATATACAGTGTATGTACAAAGGATCGTATAGTGTGTACGCTATGTTTAGGATAGCAATATACGCCTGGAACATTCTTTTCGCCCAAAAACAGTTGAAATCTATCCTAGTTACAACAATGAATCCGAGGTCAAATGTTCAACACACAACTAAGCTGCTTGCGTGTTCTGAATAAAATGAACGTGGGGTGGTAACGATGTTTAACTTGGCAGATAGTCAACAGCTGTACACCAAGGGTAATCGAAAATGTCTTCAACAGGCCTCCCCTTCTACATTGCCAGAGGTCATAGTATTACCTAATAAGATCACCCCATTGTTTCACTGTAACGGATACGAACTGAACATAAAGTCATGTAGATATAGTATTGCCTTTGAATGTGAATGTTAAACCGCACTTATGAGAGGCGTACACAAAGTCCGTTGTCTAAACTACCAGTTGTCCGACTTACAAATTTGGGAAAACCGCGGTGGCTGAGCGGGTGTAGGCGGCTGACTTTCTGTGCCGGCGATTAGGTGCCTGACTCTGAGAGTGTGGGTTCGAACCACGGATGGGTCTAAACCTAACACTTATCTTCGACGTAAATATGGCTATTTCTGTGTAATGTGCAAGCGAAACTACTTGTAAGGATTGGATATCTTAAATCTTTTAGGTGTATCCTCAGGCCGTCTATAGCTTGTTTTTGTACATATGAACCTGATGGTTAAATTGGCAAATGCAAGACAAGCTGATATCAGGTTTAAAAGTTGAAACAGTTAATTTGACGTGAGCTTTAGTGTGATGTTTGGCAGATATCGATTTCACAATGTATTTTGATATTTGTTTTTCAGTCAATGTGGGGTTTGTTTGACCCAGTGGTTGATGATTACCCTTCCCATGGTGGCGGCATGGTGTTGATTACGAACATTCAAGACTCCATGATGGATAGGTTCAAACTTATCGCCTTCTCTATTCAGATGAGTGTATCATCTACATTTAAAAATACGAAGCTGACTAAGTTGAAAGTCCGGTGATCATATGGGATATGGGTTCAATTCTTGCCGCACAGTATTGGGGACAGTGCACAGGTGTTCATTACGCATCTGCAACTCAAACAGTTGTCACTACGTATTCGTGCACATGAACTGGTTTTACAGAACAAGCGGCTATTACCGAACGAAAATTTCATTTCCGTATATTTTTCTAAGATAGCTGATCCAGTTAGCTTTGTCTGTGCCTTGAGAGTTCCTCTTCCACCAAAATCATCGTTTAACTTAGAAAATATAACTGTAATCATGAAGAAAAGATAAGCAATAAAAATGACACATCTTACACTCGCAATGGGTATATGGGCCATGGGAGGCCATGATTTGATTGACTATGAATCGTCTCATTTTCTCCCAATCAGTTCACTCCGAGTGCTCAGTGAACAAGTTAGAAAAGCAGATATAAAAGGCAGTTGAGTGACACACCCGCCACACGATTACTGGATTGGTGACAAAACGGCTTTGAATACATTCAGACATGTAGTGAGCCAGATCGATTCATACGTACGATTACAAAGCTCCAATCTGTTTCCCAATATAGATTTGCTATCTGTTACAACTTCTGTCCTATCAACAACGCCGTCATATGTGTCTCGTGAGGCAACTGTGAGACAATCTTTCCAACTGCACAATTTAACTGTATACATGCCAGTCGTCATGTAGGAGTGGTCGGGGTATGGCCTGTCTTCTCAGTGACCGAACAGGTATGGCAGATATACGTTCATGTAAATGTTCAGCAAATAGTGAAATTTCATGTCTGATTTATTCAAGCATGGGCATAAGAGAACTTATATTTATATGTATGAAAGGAAAATCAACAGAGAAAGGAAACCTTGCTTAAAAAAGACTGTGTTTGACTTATGTTTATAAAGGGAATCAATTCCATATTATTTTTAGTCTCCAGGACTCCAGTGTCTCCATGTTTTGTATCATATTTGATTACAACATGGGATTAAGTGGTATCTCTTACCAAGTTAATGTACTTGATGTTAGTAGCTGGGTGACTGAAATGTTCAGTAGGACTGCGTTGTGATATCTCAGAGCTGTCACAAAATTACTGACGTTCTAGTTAAGTGCGTATACACCCTTCCGGGTTTAGAAAACTACATCGTAAATTGAACTAATCATTCATAAAAAGGACTTGACAATTAACTTCCTTAGCGTTAAGTATTATATTACAAGTGGTCGCTATATATCATTTGTGTGTTTCAGAGAAAGACAAGTGCATCTGTTGGACCGCTTATAAATCCTTTGAAAGATCGTGCACAGAACCTAATATCATTTTGTTCCATACAAAAGAATCAACTTTTACCGAAAAGGATAAATATAAGAAGCGTTTAGTACTTCGGGAGTTTGAAAAGCGTGTGTCTGCATTGCGCAATACCGAGGGTGGTATTTTGTTTATTCACATTACTGACCGAACAAATAACAATAGCAACCTATCAGAATTTGACCAGTTTGTTGACAAAAGTTTGAAAAGTTTGATTGCTGATGGTTGTTCATTTGTGGAGTCCTACTCTCGAAAGTGGCTCAGTCTTCAACATAATATCCTGATTTTAACGGTTGCCAAAGGATCGTGTGTCTCCTCTGTGAGTCTCAACACCAAGGTGTGCTCAGATCATGGAATTGAGTTTCCATCAACGTTTGAACTGACCAGATTTGTTTCAAAAGGACAACTTGATGAGAGTGAAGCCACAGTGAGGCCAGAGCCTCGTCCTTTCCACCTGAAAAGCCAAGACTGGGTGGAAGACAGACACATTCAACTTAAAGCCTTTTTTGAACCCACCTTTCGTACGTATTGTGAAGGACACAAACACAATCGGTCTGATAAGAACTTTGTTGACTACGTTTGGAATAACCTACGTTTTCGGGAATACCTATCAGGTATGTCCAAAGTGCCACGTGGTGGCTCATATTATGTTGGAATAGCTGAGTGGAAAAAACAAGTTGTCCCAGATGTTCATGGAATTCATTTGAAGGGTTCAAAGACGGACATCACAAAACTCTTCAAGCAGAAACTGACCACTGTTACTGTTTACAGTTTTGATGACAAATTCAAAAGCGGACAAAAGGAGGAAAATATCATTGAAATCCAATTCCACAATCTGAAGACAGGAAATTCCGTTCTTGAACTTGCAGTTAAACATGTAAAGGGCATAGTTTTCTATGACAATGGTCCACTTGCATACAAAATAGATGATAAATCTAAAATTGTAAAAATTGCTAAAGATCAGTGGATGAACAAAGTGAGATCCTGGAGGTTGAAATAGGCAGGTATATAACGAAGGTATTTGGTGGCTGTGGCAACTGCCTGCTGTGTTACTAGGTTCACCTTGACTTAGTTGCATTGTATGGCATTTTGAACAGCTTCATAAACATTCCAGTTCTTTTATGGTGTAAAGTGATTGGATCCTGACTACAATGAGTGATTCAGATTCCTACCTGTCTTATCCATCGGACGAAGAAGACATGCCTTGCTGTCCCTTTGACCTGGACCCCATGAGTTCAGAATCATCTGATGAAAGTCCCGGCGATGTGTCATTCAAAGGTAAAACATTTCCCCATACTTCGTTTCTGGAAGCCTCAGCAATTATAACAAATCTTCTCGCATTTGCAGTGTGATACTATTACCGCAGGTTTTGCTGCTTACTGCAACCAGCTAAGGCAAAGCTACAGGTGAATGGTGGTACAGATAAATGAACTCAATGTCCCAAGCGGTAGGCAGATATTTTACCCTGATCGTGGTTCATCGTTGGCTGGAATCTCCTGATGTCAAGGACCTCTCGTAGTTTCCTTTGACGCCGGTTGTTGGTGAACAGGACTGTGGTACCTTCCCACATGATTGTATGGTCGTCGTTCTTAATTATGTGGTCGGAAATTGCGGAATTCTGGCCTAGTTGGCCTTTAGACCCTTTATTTGAATTTATTCAAATTTATGACAACTCATTAAAGACTGGTGAATGTCGTGTTTGGCTACTGTCCTTAACTGACAGAACCATAAACCCGATAAAACAGTCAGCGTCAAGGTTTCAGTCCCATCTTAAATACCTGGGTGGGCACAATGTGTTAAGCCCATTTCTGGTGTCCCCCGCCGTGATATTGCTGGAATATTGCTAAAAGCGGCGTAAAACTAAACTCAGTTAGTCAGTCAGTAAATACCTGGGCAATACATGTCTTCATTTCTTTGAGAAATATATACTCTTAGGAGGATGCTGATGTCGGGGTATCAGATTTTACTTTGCATTGAGCCGATGGTTAGTGATGTCATATGCATGTCTACTATTTATACACTGAAGGCCAAATGACTCTGACAGCAGTGATAAGAACCCCACACATACTGTAGTTTAAATGCAGTCAGTTCCTGCTGGGGAAAACCTTTTTCCATGCTGAAGAACAACTGTATAAGAGACGGTTCTCCATTTTGCTTCGAGAAACATTAATATAAAATCATGTACCTTCACGTGGATTGTTCTGGAGTCAACTTAAATCTTAAACAACAATTGTTTACAGATCTAAAGGGGCAAGCGGATGCACATTTCGAAAATCCTGATACGAGTTACTTGGATAAATTGCAGTCAAGACAAAGAGGTATTTATTCTTTCACAACATTTGCGTTTACAGATATTTATTGATGGTATGTTTACATATTGGGGAAAATGTGACTCCTACAGAAACTGGAGTCGAACTGAATTCAATTATAATCTCCCTGAGAGAAGGATCATTAGTGATACTCACTGCAGTTGCCCAAAGGAAACAGGCCGTGTTCCTCTGAGACATCGGCCTTTCTAACTGTAGGTTCGAATCTCTGCTCCTTGCACCTTATGGCCAAAGGCATCGATCCAATGACTAACGGACCCCAAACGCTGCACTAGCGTAAGAAAATTACATTGACTGAGTAGCATTTGAACAAACCCATGAACATATAGTACTCGAAAAACTATGGAATTGGATGAGGTCACTGGTCAAGACGCGTCCAAGATATACATGATCTACACATGTCCTTTTAGAACATTTTGAAAACTTAAGGGCTTAAATGCAGTACCCCTGATCAGACAACTTTTAAAGATCTATGCAGTGATACCCTCTGTAGAAGGAGGAGAGGTATAGACAGCAAAAGCTAGAACTAATAGTAAATATAATTATTTATTTTTTCTCCAGGTGCCTGTGTCTTTTTCCCACTGAAGCTGACAAACTACTTATCAGACAATCATCAGTGTATAATTGATGGTTTGGAGGATTTGGGTTATGACCAGTCTTTCGTGTACATCGGGAGGTCTCTTGTTGTCAGCCTGAACGTGGACAATGACAGAATCAAAGTACCCAAACAGCTTATATGCGATACCATCATATTTGCACACAACAGACCTGTTACTGTTCTCAGTTTTGTGAGAACGAATGACAAACCAGAGAAGTATGCCTTGTACAATTCACTTCTATCGAGGCACATTACAAAGATCATGCGGACATCACTGCAGGAAAATATCAGTGTCATAAGTGGAGTTGTTGAAGAGCAAGGTGAAATCAAGAAAAGAATTGAAGAGTTTGAAGACAGGGCAACATTGTTTAGCATAGCAGGATCCCACGAAATGAACGCATCACGGAGTAGAGCTGCAGCAAAATCAATCCTGCAGACAGCCGCTGAATGTAAAGCAGCATCTTTGATAGACACAGGACCTGAAAAGGAAGGCACTGTACGCACGTTGAGCGAACTGGAATTTAAACAGATGATCGATGTGATTGACGATGCAGGCGTTTGTTACCAGCCCTCCATCACCTTTCAGAACAACAGGGTGGCTCTAGAATCTACAGTCTTGAGGTAAAAAGGCAAACCAGTACAGTGCTAAACGTCTCATAGGTTTCATAGGGTCACTATAAACACGCATCCCAAGTTCGTATTATTACCATCCGTAAAGGTCCGGGTTAGAATATTGATCTACAGTAACCCACGCTTGTCGTAAGAGGCGACTAACGGGATCGGGTGGTCAGGCTCCCTGACTTGGTTGACTCATGTCATCGGTTCCCAATTGTGCAGATCGATACTCATGATGTTGATCACTGGATTGTCTGGTCCAGACTCGATTATTTACAGACCGCCGCCATATAGTTGCAATATTGCTGAGTGCGAAGTAAAACTAAACTCACTCACCCACTCGTATTGCTACCTAGCATTTAGTATCATAACCAGTCTTGAATGTGTTACAGTAAAACGTAATACCTGGTGTGCGCACAATGCACAACTCTAAACATCTGCTACCCTATACAATTAATCCATGGAAGTAGGGATTGTATATTCGCATGACCTGGTTTCGTTTTCAGGAAACACTATCCAAAGTTGGATATTGGACCAGTCATTGTGTCAAGTCTTCCGGTAGCAGGTGACAAAGATTCGCTGAATAGTGAGAGAAGCGTGTCAGTTTCAGGTAAGAATCAGTCTCCATCCTTTTAATCGATGTCTTGCATATGAGGACCACTCTGAAACAAGGAACAGTATCAGAGATGCATTGTGGAACCTGTTTTATTGATTAGGAATATTTATACATCGTATACACACGTGTTGACGAGGAAGGTTGTGCTTTCACCTCAGAAGGGAAATTTTGCCATCAGCTCAGCAAACGCAAAGGAGGTATGCACTCTTTCTTGAACATAGTTGTTTGGCTCTATGAACACGTGCCATGTAAACCATGTAAATCTATTTAGGATGTTAAATTGATAATCTGAGACAGTAAGATCCATTATCAGGAACCCTGTAAGTTTGAATAACAAGCTTATTAATATTTTCTTTCAATTGTAAGATCACGCTAATCGTATTTTACGTGTTTTGGTGTATTTTTCAGCTTCAGTTTCAGATTCCGAGTCAATCATTTTTAAAAATCAGGAAATGAGTCCATGCAATACGAACGCGCCAAACCCAAGAAAGGCTAAAGCGAGCTCAGTCAATGTTGGACAAAGTGAACCCAAAATTGATGCATGTAAGTATCTTAACATACTAGCAGCGAACAGAAAATCATTTTTTATATCTGATAATGTAACTAAATGACATGTTTCCATGTCGACTTTAAGGTAGACTTCCAGGTAATATGGAGATGATAAGAAGACGGCATGCTTATGACAGTTACGTTACGAGCCCAAATGCGCAAATGCGGTGCAGGAGCCAAGTACAAATGACACAAACTCAATGACGTGTATGCAGAGAGAACAACGGTGCATCACCGACCCACAGTCTGTCAAACGAACACGAAAGGCTTAAGAAATGGCGACTCTGCTGTCAAATCAAGGCATCAACCATTCCATGCCACACAGGCTCTAAGGGAGACATCAGGTGAATTTTGCAGGACAATGGTGTACTAAATCAGTGCGCTGTTGCAGAAAAGCCATCAAAACTCAAGAAGTTTGAAGACAGGGTTTATCCTGTTGGAAGGCATCAATCCTTGGCCATGACTTTTACGAAACGGTTCAGTGGATCTGATCCTTTCATCCCATATCTGTCAAATTACTCTTAACAACAACTAAATTGTTCCTCTAATGTGATTTTACCCCTTTCCAAATCACTACGGAATCGGTCTTCTCCATGACACACGCTTGAGTACAACGCTTCACAAGACGTGTGTAGGCGTGTTGATGTCTGTCAATACAGGGAATGTTAAATCTGGATTCGCTGTAAGAACAGTAGTCCTCCACCAGAACCGAAATTAACAGGACATGATTTCGGCACCAACTTTGACGATTTTCTTAACTATGTTGCGTCAGGATGGGTCGGTCATATCTTGTATTGATTGACCAAAGCAGTCTCTGGCTGAGACGGGGTGGATACGCTGACAGCCTGGAAGAGAGTGAGCAGTGGTGGCTGTAGACTCGAACCTGTGCCGGTCATCCGTATCTATCTTTCTTGTCTTGGCGTTGTGACACGGACACGGACGTCGTGCACTTCACCGAGCTACATGCGTTGACGTGAGTGGACAGTGGATTCGTGTTCGGGTTCACAGATGGAACCTGCGTGCCTGACATCTACGTGTTATCCCACGGACTATCACATTACTGCGAGCCGTTGTTTTCAAGAGGGATAGCGCTGGACTAATCGTGTTTGGGCAAACGTTATGTTTTCGGATGAACGAAGGTTTACTTTCGACTTTCTTTGACAAACGCAACATAGTGTAGTTTAGACGGAATTGGTGCTAACATTAAACAGAGCAGGGAAGTACTACCGTGACAACATCCTGGAGACATACGTTGTGTCATCTGCGCGACAGCATGGACGTCGGTCTGTGTTTCATGATGGCAACGCAAACGCACACAGGTTCGTTACTAAGTACCTCCAATAGGGGAAATTAACTACCTTAATATGGCTAGCACTCAGTCCAGACTTATCCCCAATCGAACATATATGGAATATCTTTTGACGGCGCATACGTCACCGTCAGCCATCGCCGACAAATCTCAACGGAATTGGCGCTGCCCTGCGAAAGAATGGAATGGAATGAATCAATTTTAGGCTTTAAGCGCCCACGTCTTAAGGCGTCTTCAGGCGTCTCCCTCTGTCACTCACAGACTGAGGGAGAGGTTCCAGGCCACTGGTAGAGTACAGGACAGACCTTGCTCTCGAAGACCCAAAAAACATGGGCCTAGTTCGTGGGAAGTCTGTCTTCTACATGCACTAGGCCGTTGTGTTTGGGCGTTTGAATCAAACATGGCGCTGGTATGTCAGCACCCTTGCTTTTCGCTGTTTTTGACAATGTTTCATTTCACTCAAACTCAACGAATATTGAATCATTTGCTTAGCTGCATGCTCCATACTTTTTGTTTGTAGTATGTTTGTCGGTCCTGTGCTGTATTACTTTACTCTTGCTTGACAACGGTATAAAAATCTATACCGAAACGTCGCATCATCATATAATAAAGAAATTGTTATCCATAAAAGTATCGTACCATTCTCATTAAGGTATGCATGACCTTTATGGTCGACCCTCTTTACCAACATGCTCGCCAGACCTCCACTCAATTGAGCATGCCTGGGATGAACTCGGTCGACGTGTGTACACACGTCACCCAGCACCAGTGGATTTCCCAGGACTCTGCAGAGCTCTAGTAGAGGAATGGAATGCGATTCCGCAAGCTTTCTTTGTGAACTTGATAAGGAGCATGAGAACAAGGTGCACCTGTGTCTTGGACGCGCGAGGAGGATGCACAAAATATTGAATGACCGTCATTTTCATTTTGGGGGGTAGTCAGTACAACTGATGTTTGCTGGTGCTGCTTGATTTATTTGTCTGTATGTCACGATGTGTCAGGTTTGTCACCACATTTTGATGACACTCTCAGTTCTATTATTTCCTAAAAACTGTTCTTTACATGTGCTATATATCATTTGACCCTTTATTAACGACGTCTAGTTATACTACTGCTCCTACACATTTTAATTGCTATGATTGTATGAATTTATGTGTATGTTTAATGTATGTGATATCACATGCCGTTTCTTTAATCATACTTATGTCTCTTGGTGTGAAGGCTTCAACTGCGATATGAGTAGCAGCCCTTCGTCTTATCCTGTGTCAACAGAAATCTACCACTAGACAGCATAAAAGATACAAATCCACCAAGAACATCGATGTTAGAGGTCCTTTGGATACAAGAACCGCCGATGATGTTTACATTCCACTCAATGGGAATGACATTTGAAAACATTTTATACATGTAGCATCATGTTGATTCGTCTCAGTTTTCAAGAATGTAGTGATAGTACTCGAAACTTGTCATGAGTTTTCACTTTGACTGGCGGTCAGAAGAATTTGAAGTATTAACAATCAAACTTAACACACACTTGAAAGACGTTTGAAAATATCAGGACAAGACTAGAATATATTAATAAAATACTTACAAACCTGCGAAAGGGAAGAATAACTTTGATAGGTAAATTTGTAACAATAATAAAGACCCTTGCTGGAAGTCATATATAGCCTGAACCGAACTTTCTTCAATTTTATATGGAATACAAAGGAGCTATAAGCCAACGATCTAACGTGATAAAGGAAAACAGAGAAGGTGGGCGTTGTTTATATGAAAATATCAAACTTAAGATGCAGCCTTCGAAACCTAATATTGAAAGTCCAAAGAACTCAAATATACTGAGCAGCAAAAGAAACGTCGTAATATTGGAAATGACATTTAAGTATCAATGGAGTAATGGAACCTATTTTTTATAAGATATGCACCCGAAGTCAGATTTCAGGAAACATAAATCATGGTCGTATAGCCTGTTTTGCCCAATAAAGTATTGTTTGAGATTGAGGTTAGAAATGTTTTTGTTTGTGGAAAGGGAAGAGTTAGCACAAACACAAAATTGATATTGAGATGCACGTGCATCATGCATGCATTCAGGCATAAAATGCCGACTTGAATGGCAATCGTTCAATTGTTTTCTGAACACAGCAGCCATGGCTAGGTGAATGAGAGATCAACGACAACACGCCATTGGACGTCTAGACGCTGGTCAACGTGCTAGAGTCATTGCTAATGACTTCAACTGCAGCCTACAAACGATAGACCGTCTTAGAAAGCGATACAACGCCACCAACAACACTGATGACCTTCCATGTAGTGGTCAACCCCGTGTAGCAAGACGTCGCCAGGACCGTCATATCGTCAATCAACACCTGCAAGACCGATTCGCAGGGACCAAAGAAACAGCTCGGGTGACAACAGGAAACCACCAGCGATCGGTCAGTGACCGAACCATTCGGCGACGTCTCCAAGCCAGGAAGCTGTTTTGTCGACATCCTGCCAGGGGACCCATATTCACCCAACTTCACCGCCGGGAACGTCTCAAGTTGGCACAACAGCGGCAAAACTGAGACAATGGAGAGGGGTTAACTTCTCTGATGAAAGTTGATACTGCATTTCAGTGGCGTATGTTTAATAAACATAGGTTCAACTACTCCATTGATACCTAAATTGGATTTCCAATATTCCGACGTTTCTTTTGCCTTTCAGTATATAAACATCCTCTAGTGGCTAACATTAATCAAATAAATAAAATCAGGTTGATAATCCTTACAGGAATAAAATAATTGATATTTGGAATATATCTTATAGAAAACACTATATCAACGCTAGACACATGTATGCTGTGTGAACTAATATGGCTTAATTCCGCAACGGATGTCAGTTTATACAAAACTGGTACAACAAAGAGGTACAAATTATGATAAAAATACTTGTTGTTCTACCTGTTTCACTAGGGGGTTGAAATTAAAATGTTTAATTGTAACTGGAATAAGAGGTAACATCTTAGAAATGATTAGCTAACAAAAAGCTTTTGCTGGTTTTACGTTACGCTACTGAAAATTGATGACTTTGCAGCTGTATGTAATAAGTGGGAAATATGTGCAGACATTCCATTTAGTTGTATAAAAACAATTCCTTTAGTATATCACAGTGATTCATAAACACATGCTCTGTCATCGTATCGCATGGTGACAATCACTGGATTGTGTGGTTCACACCCGATTTGTTTACAAACACCATACAACTGTAATACTGCTGAAACAAATATCTGCTCATGATATAATCACAATTGTACAGTCGATTTCTTATGTATGTGGAAAGGGTTTTGTCTCTCCTACTTAGTATAGAAACTGTACAAAGGATGTGATGTTACTGGAATTCCAATTCAAACCTTTTTACATTGGAATAACTTATGTAATAGAGACAATGTCTTTGGTATATTTCTTGGACGAGAACATGTTAAACACTCCTGGCCCCGATTTCTCTCGAAACAAACTTAAGTTTTACTCAAATTTCAAGCTGAGTTTGACAATTTGCAACAGTTGAATTTTTTGACTCAACTGCATTTTAAAATAAAAAGCCCGAACAACTTAAGTAATCTACCCACCAAACTTAAAATTGTCTACTATGTTTGAGTTTAATATCAATTTCAGTTTATTCTAGGAAATGCATTTTCTCAGATTTGAGAAAACTCAAACTTAAGTCAAAACTCAGACTTAAGTTTGTTTCGAAAATCGGGGCCAGGACTCAACCGGGTCCAATCACATCACACTGGCCGCAAAGAGAGACATATTAATATTAGGTATAAGAAACAAATACCAACTTGTTGATATATACAAAGTAGAAAAACTAATTTTATAATGCTAATTTGAATCCATATGTATAGAATGAAGAATTATACACGTGTTTGCTCTACCACCTACTATTTTATCCCAATATTTAAAACCCTTTTAGATTAACAGCAGGGTCTTAATTGTATTCACACCATAACATCCAGTTCTTTAATTATAGATTCAATTAATCACCGACATATTGATGTGATGTGTTGTGATGTGATGTGATTCTTGTTGATGTAGTTATTGCTTTTATTATTAATGTATTACTTAGTTACATGCACAGATAAACATGCACAGAAAAACTGCTTATGATTTTGTAATATTTGACTGAGTATTCATTTATTCAGTTATCCAAGTTTTCGACTACTAATATGATTATTTTACACATTATCGTATTTTCTAACTACCCTTTGATCTAAATACCTAAGCGCTTATACAGTTACATATTTGGTTAACAATGTAATACTCACTTGCTGCTTATGAAAGCTTGTTTAATGTGACTTTTATCCCAATATATAAAACGTTTAAGATTAACAGCAGGGTCTTAATTTTATTCACACCTTAACATCCTGGGCCCTTATTCTCGAAACGTTCGTAGCCCTAAGAACTCTGATCGTAGCCAATGTGTTAAGAATGTGATTAAGAAGTTCTTAGGACTACGAACGTTTCGAGAATAGTTAGCCTGTTCTTTATTCATAGATTCAATTAATCACCGACATATTGATGTGATGTGATGTGATGTGATCTGGTTGGCTGGTTGTTGACTGATTGATATGTTTAGATGTATTTGGTGTGTTTTTTATCGATTAATTATATTTTTTTGTATTAATTTCTTTTCTTGTTGATGTAGTTATTGCTTCTATTATTCATTTATTTATTAGTTACATGCACAGATAAACATACACAGATTCAGTTATTCAGTTATCCAAGTTTTCGACTTATCTATCGATTTACCCACCGAATTGTCTATATCTTTATACACCCATCCACTAAGTCAGTCCACATACAGACTCCCTTTACTTAACTACCCAACTGTACTAATATGATTATTTTACATAATATCGTATTTCTCTAACTACCCTATGATCTAAATACCTAAGCGCTTATAAAGTTACATATTTGGTTAACAATGTAATACCTTGCTGCTTATGAAAGCTTGTTTAATGTGACTTTTATCCCAATATATAAAACGTTTTAGATTAACAGCAGGGTCTTAATTTTATTCACACCATAACATCCAGGGCCCTTATTCTCGAAACGTTCGTAGCCCTAAGAACTCTTAACTCTGATCGTAGCCAATGTGTTAAGAATGTGATTAAGAAGTTCTTAGGACTACGAACGTTTCGAGAATAGCTAGCCTGTTCTTTATTCATAGATTCAATTAATCACCGATATATTGATGTGATGTGATGTGATGTGATGTGATGTGACCTGGTTGGTTGGTTGTTGACTGATTGATATGTGTAGATGTATTTGGTGGTGATTTTATCGATTAATTATTTTTGTATTAATTTCTTTTCTTGTTGATGTGTTATTGCTTTATTATTCATTTATTAATTAGTTACATGCCCAGATAAACATACACAGATTCAGTTATTCAGTTATCCAAGTTTTCGACTTATCTATCGATTTACCCACCGAATTGTCTATATCTTTATACACCCATCCACTAAGTCAGTCCACATACAGACTCCCTTTACTTAACTACCCAACTGTACTAAGATGATCATTTTACATAATATCGTAATTCTCTAACTATCCTATGATCTAAATACCTAAGCGCTTATAAAATTACATATTTGGTTAACAATGTAATCACTTGCTGCTTATGAAAGCTTGTTAAATGTGACCTGCCTATTGAAATGTGAATAAAAAGTGCTTAAAAGAACAATTTGTTGTGCTGTGTTTTATCATATTACTTAGGAGACAGTATGGAATTGTCAAATGGTATATGGATAGGTTACTGATAATCAAACAAAATATACCTTCAACAAAATTCTGACAAAGTGGCAAATACTAGAGATAAATTCCTGAAACATAAACTGGTTTCAGTAAAGGCTATTCTACTGCTAACCATAATTGTAGTTTTTATGCCACTGTTTAGATGTATATGGTAAGAAGGAAACGTACATTATATGGAACATTTATTGTCTTTAAGAAAGCCATTGACTCTGTAAATCGACAGAAACTATGGGCGTGTTTATGATAGGCAGGATTGGATTATTGTCTGTGTTATAAGGTATCTGTGTGTGCGTAAAAGATTGTGTACGTTGTTTGGGAGAATTTACTGACTATTTTGTTTGCCCATTGGTGTTATACAAGAAGGTGTGTTGAGTCCTATTCTTTTTTCCTCCTTTGTCAGTGAGTTAGAAATGGAATAAGCTATAAAGGCACACATGTTGTATAGGTATATTCTCATATTTTGGAGATTTTAATGTTACTGTTTGCTGACGATGTGGTGGGTTTACTGAATCAATTTTAGAGAATTAATCGAATGAATGGCAATTAAATGTCATACTTGATAAGTCAAATATTGTTGTATTTAGAAGGGGTAGACGACTCGCTAGTTACGTTCAGTGGTTCTGCAAGGACATTTCAGTGAAATTAGTTACTGAATATATGTATCTTGGTGTAGATATTAGTCATAAATTGCATCTAGGTAAAAAGGTTGTTGCAAACATAAAATATATTTGGGATTACACTTTCTCAGTAGAAGTCGCGGTGACTGAATGGGTTAGATGGCTGACATCTGTGTGCTGGCGATTAAGTGCCTCACTCTAAGGTTGTGGGCTCGAACCCCGGATGAGACTCAACCCAACAGAAGTACTAGAATCTTTCTTTACTGAGAAAAACGTAATCCCAAATATAACACGTTACATTTGACCACTTTCTAAACGGCATTGTGTATTCATTTGACGGGAGTGCTTTTCTTTCACCTTGATCGCCATGTATCAGACACGATAATGTTATTTACTTTTTCAGATTTCGGATACAGAAGTCAAGGTCAAATATGTGTTAGTCTCTCATAATTGTGTTTGCTTGGTCCGCAAATAGAATATTCACAAACGACAGCAGTTCGGTTATTATCACAACTGTCTACGATGAAATAGGTACATGCAATTACATAAGTAATTTAGTAAGGAAGGTGTTGCAATTTAGTAATTTTGTAAACCAAAACTATCAGAATCGTGAATACACCTGTATTAATGTTACTGTAAATGTGCTTAATTTTTCACCAATGTATGTATTCAACTGTTGAAAAGCTGAAAAGCTGTGTTTTCAAACAAATGACGTGCAGTCAATCGATCGTTCGTAATGAAAACAATAAATCTTTAAAAAAAATGAATGAAAAGAAAGATAAAACGATGTTTTTCACAATAAATTTGCATGAATTGCATTACTCAAAATACAGGGGAAGTACAAATCATATTTGCTGCATTACATACACAGGCTTGAACAGCACTCGATTATCAGGGTTAACCTGAGCAAACTGTTTACAAATGTTATCTTGTTACTTTATTTGGAAATGGGGCGTAGTTTGCGTTCGTTTACATTCTTGTTATAATTTCATTATATTGACGTCCATTAATTCTTCACAAATAGCACATGTCATTGCATTCCAATTGCGTAGGTCGATGCTCATGCTATTGATTATCTGATGCAGACTCGATTATTTACAGACTGCCGTCACACACAGCTGGAATATTGCTGAGTGCGGCGTTAAACAGAAAGCAAAGCAAACAAACAAACCAACTTTACAAATACTTCCTCAAATTGTTAGCATAAACTGACGCATTACCACCATACATGTAGAAAATACTGGACAACCTTTCCATGTTCCTGTTACCAGACTTTGCGCAATATCAGTAACAGGAACGAGGAAAAGTTTTTGACATGTTGTACAAATGACAAAACTGATATTTTTGCCACATCTAAATTTCTATGGCACACCGTTTGCCCGACATGACTGTTCAGAATGACCTGACATGGGTGTCCGGGTGAGCCTATAAGAGTACAAATTGGTAGATGATGTCAAATATCTATCAGCAACATATTTACTGGACAGGATTTATTCGCCTTTATGCGGAAATATGATTTACAATGCGGGGCTCTTTGCTAATATTACGTATTGCTTCATATAACGAAACACAACAAGAATCAGCGGGATATGGTGTTGATATGTATAATCCGTATACATAGAGCATATGACACTGAGTATATGTTTAAATTGAAAATGTATAAAATTTGAATTAATAAACTTAAAAATATATTTTAAAATATATTCTGTGTACAGGTGCTTCACAAAATATGCGACCTACATCCTCACCGTGTCATTGTGTTTCTCTGATCATAACCCTTCTTAAACGTTATTTAGCGTTCTTTAAATACGAAATATTCGCAACTAACGTTTCAGCAATTTTCCTCTAGCCTTGTGGTACTCCTGCTTCAATTTCCGCCTTAGAATTCAGCGTGACGAACGGACGCTTTAACCATGAGGCTACCCTACCTACAGCGAGTACAGCGCGATATAAACTATCTTTGTTCCTTGAACTAAACTTTATTTTCTCTCAAGGCTTAATACATAGCATAATAAGGGTTTACAGAGGTCAATACATCAAGTAAGTAATGGCGACATAAAGACTATTTAAAGTTGCATAATATAGAGCGACAAAGGTTGACAATTTAATCAAATCCGAGACATTTTCAGTTTGAAATAAACTTATCATTTTAAATACAGATGATCTGACGATTACTCGATAGTTTAATTCTCGCTGGAACCAGATCTTGGCTCGATACATCGGTCATAAAATGTTATGTTCCTCGCTTGACACCGTACTGTAATTTGCTATTAGGGCCAAAGTGTTTCTGCACGTAGCAGCACTCAAAGTTTTGAACAGGCAAGTAGCAGCTCTCAAAGTGTTGAATAGGCAAGTAGCAGCTCTCACAGTGTTGAATAGGCAAGTAGCAGCTCTCACAGTGTTGAATAGGCAAGTAGCAGCTCTCAAAGTGTTGAATATGCAAGTAGCAGCTCTCACAGTGTGTAGGCACGTAGTAGAGACTCCAGGAGTAATAAACGGGGCTCATTTCTTTATTTCCATAAAGGAAGACAAACAGCACAGAATACCAGCCCATTATATCTCAGTGGGCGACCTGTCAGAGGCGACTATCGGGTGGTCAGGCTCGCTTACTTGGTTTACACATTTCATCGTAATCCAGTTGCGTAGATCGATGCTCATGCTGTTGATGACGGGATTGCCTGGCCCAGACACGATTATTTACAGACCGTCGCTATATAGCTGGTATATTGCTGAGTGCGATGAGTGCCAAATAGCGAACCAGTTGACGACTTACCAAAATTACCAAGGCACGCCAGTAGTTACAGTAAATGTTTCACAGTTATCATTAAATGTTTGACATAATTGCCAACATTTCCCTTAGTATTTGTGTATCTGGGTGTACATCATGCAAGGCTTCGTACGCAGGTACACGTGAGAATACCACAAAAGGTGAACAGATATTAATTAAAATATTTGATTGATTTGCAAAAAGATCGTTGAATAGATGAAAGATCGCAAAGGTAAGTTTCAGTGCTGGTAAGAAACTCTTTTGTTTGAAATAAATCGAATAAATCGGATCCCATTTTGGTTTCTTGACAAATGTTCAAACGCTAAATACCTGTATCACTTCGGGCATTCAGAAGTATGCTGCCATGTTATGATTTCATTGAAATATTAGTCAGTGAGGAGTGTAAGTTGAACACAGAATATACCATATGGCGAACTGCTGTGTAGTTTCACGTTTATTCATGGATTTTGATAGTAGTATAATGTTTGTTTGATAATTTGAATGTTTATTAATCTGCTTAAACATGGAAATATTAGCCTTCATGCCTGAACACGATATTAAAGTAATTTCTATAATTCATGAACTATCCTCAATGTTTGCATATGAATTTAAATATACACACTAGAGCTTGGAGTCAACAGCTCTTGCACATACAACATGAAGTGTCAATATAGTTCGATGTTCATGCTGTTTATCACTGGATTGTCTGGTTCAGACTCGATTATTTACAGACCACCTCCATATAAGAAAAACAAGATTTATGGATGTCAACGTCTTTATTGTGAATAACACGACGTTTCGGGAGTGTATATTTCCTCTTTCATTCAGTAAAAGGCTATTCTACTACTAACCATTATTGTAGTTTTATGCCAATTTTTCTATTTGATGATTGGGGCTTGCTTTGATGTGGTCGGAAATGGCTGATTTGCTATCGGAATTGGTAACAGAGGTGTGATGTTCTTTCACTCGGGTGTTGATGGGTCGGGACGTTTCGCCTATGTAGCTCTGCCCACAATCACAGTTTATTTTGTAGATGACACATTTTGGGTTGTTGTTCGTTACCCAAAATCATCAAATAGAGTGGTCTGACATCACCAGTCTCTAACAAACAAACAGACTTCACTAAACGCAAGCTCGCCGAAGCCATCAACATCAAACGCCAAAAGCCCACCATCAACCGAGACCAAGGATACTTAATTCCATCCGCTTATGATGCACTCACCCACCAAGCCCAATCTACTGTATAAACCTTGCTGTATAAACATCTCATTATTATTTGTACATCACTGGCTTCCTCGCCTGTCCTTTGTCTACTCTCTGGCTTCATCAGCTTTCTGCCTAGCCAATTATGTTAATTATGTTGGTTTCTTTTTACATTGTTACATCCAGCATATATATACTTCACCCTTCTTCATGTTCCATTATGCTTGACAACGGTACAAGAATCTGTATCGAAACGTCGCACTCACGAATAAAAAGAAGTTGTTATCCATAAAGTTTGTTCTATATTGTACTTCCCAACTTCTAAAGGGCACTCAAAGAAGTTAAAAAGAAGGTAGTTGCAATCATAAAATATATTTGGGATTACACTTCCTCAGTGGAAGTCGCGGTGACTGAATGGGTTAGATGGCTTGCGTCGTGTGCTGGCGATTAGGTGCTTGACTCTAAGGGTGTGGGTTTGAGCCCCGGATGAGATTCAACCCAACAAAAGTACTAGAATCTTTTCTCTACAGAGAAACAGGTACATGTAATTCCACGAGCAATTTAGTAAGGAACGTGTTGTAATTAAGTTATTTTTAAATAAAAATATAAGAATCGTGAATACACCTGCATTAATGTTACTGTAAATGTTGCTAAATTTTCACCAATGTATGTTTTCAACTGTTGAAAAGCTGACAAGTTGTGTCTGCAAACAAATGACGTGCAGTCAGTCGATCGTTCGTAAAATAAAACAATAAATCGTAATTATAAAATGAATGAGAATAAAGAAAACGGTCTTTTTCACAATATATTTCCATTTATTGCATTACGCAAAATACAGGGTAAGTACAAATCATATTTGCTGCTTTACGTAATAATACAGACTTGAATAGCACTCGATTATCAGGGTTATCCTGAGCAATCTGTAAGTCACCAGTCAAATAACAGTTGTAACAAATGTTATATTGTTACTTTATGGGAATATGGGGCGTAGTTTGCGTTAGTTTCTTTGTCATAATTTCATTATATATTGACGTCCATGAATTCTTTACAAATAGCACATGCCATCGCACCCCAATTGCGTAGATCGATGCTCATGCTGTTGATCACCGGATTGTCTGGTTCAGACTCGAATATTTACAGACCGCCGTCATATATCTGGAATATTGCAAACCAACAAAGAAATTTAAATCAACTTTACAAAAGTACTTCCTCAAAGTATTAGCATATAGAGACGCGTAACTGCCATAAATGTGGCAAATACTGGACCACCTTTCCCTTGTTCCTGATACGTGACTTTGCACAATATCAGTACCAGGAACGAGGAAAAGTGTTTGACATGTTGTACAAAACGACAACACTGATATTTGTGGCACATCTGAATTTCTATGGCACACCGTTTGCCCGACATGACTGTTCAGAATGACCTGACAAGGGTGTTCGGGCGAGCCTACAGTGAAATAAAGGGTAGACGATGTCAAATATCTATCAACAACATGTTTTTGCTGGACACAATTCATTCGCCTTTATGCAGGAATATGATTTACAATGAATGATTCTTTAGTAATAGTACTTATTGATTCATATGATGAAACACAAAAGGAATTAGCGGGATATTGAGTTAGCTGTTCGGTAATACCCGACACGGCGCTATATATTCCGTATACATAAAGCATATGGTAACACTAAATAGGTTTAGATGTAAAATGAATAAAATTTAAAAATAAAATTTAAAATATATTCTGTGTACAGGTCCTTTACACAATTTGCGACCTATGTCAGCCCTAATGTGTCATTGCGTTCATCTTAGCTTAAACGTTATTTAGATTTCTTCAAATACGAAATGTTCTCGACCAACATTTCAGCAACTTTCCTCCAGCCTTGTGGTACTCCTGCTTCAATTTCCGCCTTAGAATTGTAGACAGTGTTACAGTTGATATCTATGACGTATGGAACACCGTCTGGGCCATAAATAAACTCCACCGCGCCATTATCCAACCCGGGAGTTTGAAACAATTTGGTACACTTATCAATTACAGGATCCTCAAGGTCTTTCAGAATCTGGAACCTGTCTTTGGGTAAATCATCAGGACAGTAGTTGGAAGAAAAGCCATCGCACATTGTTGCTTTGCTGACGTAAAGAAACTGTTGCGCAACGAACTCTGCTCTGTAAACACCGGAAGTCGGGGGGAGATAACTCTGAATCAAATACAGTCCAGTATACGAACCAGGCAGCTCCTTTTCCGATTCAAATTCTGCGACATTATGGTACAGCTGTATATTAATACCATGTCCACCTCTATCTGGTTTGATAACAAAGGGTGCATCCGTTCCGAAATGTTTCTGAATTAGTGCCTTTGTCGGTCTGGAAGTGAAGACAGTCTGAGGGATATTTAAGCCACAGTCTTTGGCCATGACGTACTGGAAGGCTTTGCTGTCTTCGATGTCTATAGCAGGGAGACCATTCACTACTGTTACGTTGTGATGACGTAACCACTTGATGATGACGCGTGCCTGCTCCAGGGATAATGGGTGACCACGTGTATGTGACGTTGGACTACATCTGTTGTAGAAGATGGTGTTCTCTGGTGGGGATGACGTGAGGTCGATGTCAACTTCGTCAGAAACCCATTCGTCAACTACGACGTCATAATCCTTCAATGCATCTTTGACCAATGGAAACCACTTTGGGTTGTCATGGAGCACTATTATTTTGTATACTTGGTCGGCCATGTTTACCTGCACATTGAACAAAACATTCTTTAGTTTTTTGTTAATTGAACAGAGTGAGAAAATGACAATTTGAAAAAATGCATTGTTCATGTATGATGAATAATTAACACAATGGTTATTATAAAAAGAACATTCGTTATTTCATCATTAAGTCATCAGTCAAATATACACATGAAATAAACATATGTACACCGAATCGCCATTAGATTGTTTACACTTCGTTTCTCCTAACGTTAGTACGCACGGTGCGGTTGAGAAGCCTGAAGATCTGGGTTATATTCCCCACGTGGGTACAATGCGTGAAGCCCATATTTTGTTCCCCGCTGTGATATTACTGGAATATTGCTAAATGCGGCGTAAAACTAAACTCACTTACTTAATCACTCACGTACGGCCACGGTGTTGTCACATCATATAACCAATGCATTACGCTTGAGATAAATTAGAAGACTTTTGATTGGTTAATAACCATTGTATATGAAACCATACTAACTTCACAGGTAGTATGGATCCATCTTAACGTGTTCCAACGGGCGGTAAGGAAGACCTTGCAGTTTGCAACCTTTGACATTGATATGTAACGCACTTGGAGAATTCAATTGTTATCATCACGAAAAACTGATTTATCAAAAAAATATAAATACATATCTATAAATTGGCAATGGCTTGAAGTTAAAGCTTTATCCTAAGCGTTGGTATTATTTGAAATAACAAGTCACTTAAAACGTATTTATAAGCCTACACGAGTTACATCCCTTAGTATATCTACTGATAATGTTCGACTACGATGACGATTATGGGAAAAGCTGTGCGTTCCATACCGTTGGTGGATAATACTAGTGTGTCGTGTTTCATTTAAAGATACCTATGTAATGACATTTTCTAGCATTTGGCACAATATCTAATGGGTAATAAATGGTAATTACACGGCCTTCTGCCAGGTAGTTTGGAATGGTACGGTCCGAATGAATCTGGTATATAGCCGTGTAACTAATAGTATCACGGTTACAGCGTGAGTAAGTGAGTATGGTGTTACGCCACTTTTAGCAATATTCCAGCAATATCACGGCGGGGACACCAGAAATGGGCTTCACACATTGTACCCATGTGGGGAATCGAACCTGGGTCTTCAGCGTGACGAGCGGACACTTTGACCATTAGGCTACCCTACCGCCCCCGTTACAGCGAGTACAGTGAGATATCAACTCTCTTTATTCTTTGAACTGAACTTTATTTTCTCTCAAGGCTACATACATAGCATAATGAGGGTCTACAGAGGTCAATACATTAAGTAAGTAATGGCGACATAAAGACTATTTAAAATTGCATAATTTAGAACGACAAAAGGTTGACAATTTAATCAAATCCGAGACATGTTTACTTTGAAATAAACTGATCATTTTAAATACAGATGGTCTAACGATTACTCGATAGTTTAATTCTTGCTGGAAGCGGGTCTTGGCTTGATACGTCGGTTATAAAATGCGACCAAGGTGTTCCTCGCTTGACATCGTAACTGTAATTTGCTATTAGGGCCAAAATGTTTAGGCACGTAGCAGCACTCAAAGTGTTGAATAAGCAAGTAGCAGTTCTCACAGTGTGTAGGCAAGTAGCAGCTCTCACAGTGTGTAGGCACATAGTAGAGACTCCAGGGAGTAATAAACGGGGCTCATTTCTTTATTTGCATAAAGGAAGACAAACATCGGCGGACACGAGCCCATTATATCTCATTGGACGACCTGTAAGAGGCGACTATCGGGTGGTCAGGCTCGCTTACTTGGTTGACACATTTCACCGTAATCCAATTGCGTAGATCGATGCTCATGCTGTTGATCACGGGATTGCCTGGCCCAGACACGATTATTTAAAGACCGTCGCCATATAGCTGGTATATTGCTGAGTGCGATGACTGCCAAATAGCGAACCAGTAGATGACTTACCCAAATTACCGGGCACGCCAGTAGTTACAGTAAATGTTTGACATAATTGCCAACATTTCCCTTAGTATTATCATACAAGGCTTCGTACGCAGGTACACGTGAAAATACGACAAAAGGTGCACAGATGTTAAGTAAAATATTTGATTGATCTGCAAAAGTTCGTTGAATAAATGAAAGATCGCAAAGGTATGTTGCCCCTTTTATAATTGTTTTGTTGAAATTGTTATGTTTTCAGTGCTTGTAAGAAACTCTCTTTTTTTAAATAAATCGAATAAATCGGATGCCGTAGGTTATCAAGAAGCCGTCCCCATTTTGGTTTCTTGACAAATGTTAAAACGCTAAATACCTGTATCACTTTGGGCATTCAGAAGTATGCTGCCATGTCATGATATAATTGAAATATTAGTCAGTGAGGAGGGTAAGTCGAACACAGAAAATACCATATGGTGAACTGCTGTGTATTTTCACCTTTATTCATGGTTTTTAATAGTAGTATTATATTTATATGATAATTTGAATGTTTATTATTCTGCTTAAACATGGACATATTAGCCTTCATGCCTGAACACGATATTAAAGTAATTTTTATAATTCATAAACTGTCCTCAATGTTTGCATATGAATTTAAATGTACACACTAGAGCTTGGATGCCTTTCTGCGTGCAAGCCATATTATGTTGATGACATATACTAGTATTTAGTTATTTAGTTCATGTTTGAAAATTAGCCCTATGTTGTAATTTCCGAGTTGTACTAGCTGAGGGTCAGATTTGTGTAAAGACCCTAAGCAATAAAGATTACGTTGTGCTCAAGATGTGCTCACGACGCCCTTTACAGAGTTGAACAGATTTTTGTCTGACCCAAAGAGGCGCGTATGTTTCATAAAGGTCCCTTGACCTACCTGCAAGGAAAGCTCGGTCATCACTACCGTCACATGTTAATCGAGTAATGTAGAGACCGAGGCAGTGAAGCACGTTGTCAGCTAGAGGGGCGTGTACTTATCATGTCCTTGTGCACAATTACCTGCCAGGTATGCACCTACACTCCTTACAGTCGTGTGCAGAAACCTACCTTTTATCTCACGGGTATGTGTGGAGCTATTTCGGGCGGCCACTGAAGTCAGATCGACCCAATTTAAAGTCAGGTGTGTACAGTCTGATCGTTTCGTTACGACCACAGCACGGCCCACAATGTATGTACAGTCTGACCGCTGTGTCTATTTGTAATAACGGCCACGAGGTTTTGAATGTCTTTGTTGAAGTGATTGTGAGATTTCAAACTCGCGAAGCTTACGTAAAATACCTGAAATAAGTAAGCCTCAATGTCGCGTTCAAAAACATTTCACTTCACTTGCAACATGCGTGCATGCACAAATGTGTGCGTGCGTGCGCTTGAAGTAGCCCGTTCTATAGCTTAGGAGTGACAGCATTCCGCAGTCAGTTTAACAGGACTTTCAACCCCAAACTCAAGATACCCAACTCACTACGTGAGTGAGTGAGGTTAGTTTTACGCCGCTTTAGGCTACTACCACAACGTTAGTTGTTTACTTTGTGTTGCTTAGTGCAGATGTAACGCAGGTGAGCTTCCTTATTGACAAAGGTTGACGAGTGTGTCGTACAGATATGAACATGTTGGTTCAGTTTGGTAATATTTTGACATGCACATTTACTTATAAACGGTGTATATGTTCACTGAGTCCTTAACAACAGGCGCTATAAGAAAGAAAAACAGATTTTCTTACCTCCATGAATCTTCCAAGCTCTGGAATGATTCATGATTGTCACTGTGTGAAACCTCCTCCTTAGCAATCAAAAAAGAGAATGTGAAATGAAACAACATTACTGGTTAACGGGCCATACGTTTGTAGATGCCTTCATTCCTTGTCACAGGTACATTTACAAACTGACTGTAAAGGGTTGGTTCGCTTTGAGTCTACAGCACTTGCACATACACACTCGCACAACATGAAGTGTCAATATAGTTCGATGCTCATGCTGTTGATCACTGGATTGTCTGGTTTCGACCGCCTCCATACAGTTAGAATGTTGCTTAGTTAAACAACAAACCAACAACAACCAACTCGTATAGGTGGAATCCACGTGTTTGCATTATAGCGCAAAAAACAGACATTTTTTTTTTCATTCGAGCTGAAACTATTTAAATCCAAATCAAATATACTGTCAGCATTAATGGAGATTAATGGACAAAAACTACAACGGATGGTAAAGGAATGATTCATATGAATACTGACGTCTTCAACCTAAACCATTTATGATTTACTTTATTTCTGTCTGGAAGATAAGTGCCGTTACTCTTGCCTTTAATGCCCTAGCAAAGCAATAAACACGTTGTGCATGTTTGAATAAGCTATCAACATGTGATAAAGCACCAAATGAGCATTTACACTTACATGTGTAGAACATAAGTACATATAATTCAATCAAAATCAGCCATAAAACGAGTGAGAAAATTCATATGGTCCTAATGTAAACAACCATGGAGTACCACACTGGAGTGCTCGGCACTATCATTTGCCCAAACACCTGGTATGCCAATATTGATGTGTTTCTAAACGTGCGCGCCCTGTGATCTATACACTAACATATATGTTTTACCTGCAAAGATAAAGTAGCTTTGAAGTGCAATATGCTTTATTGGATAAATAACGTGGTTATTTTAAGGTGCGTTAGATTTGATTATTTTTTTCTGAAGTTGGTGAATGGTTCTTACTGTTATCGATTGCATTAATTAGTTTGTCTTTAAGAGCTTGTATTTTACAATGTTGCCTGTTAGAGTGTGAACTGAGAAATAGGTATGCACTAACGATATTGTTAGTCTGAAGATAACCTTGAACCGTTTGCTACAACAACTTACATGTACCTAACACATGTTCCCTGTTTTCAGTACACCTAAGGTCGTAGCTACGGAATATTCGTCGTGTCGTTTTGGAAGTGACGAAGAATACTCAAAGAAAATCTTAATTTCAACACAAGAAAATGAGTTTGGTTATCGAGCAATAATCGAGCATTCTATGTGAGAGAGAGAGAGAGAGAGAGAGAGAGAGAGAGAGAGAGAGAGAGAGAGAGAGAGAGAGAGAGAGATGGCTGATAGTATGATATCATACTATCAAGCACTTGATTTGCTTGCAAAGCATTTGGTTATTGAAAATCTGACAGGTTAGAGATAGAAAGGTGCTCACTTTGAAAGTTACATGTGAGACGTAAAACGAGACAGAGAGAGAGAAAAACGTAAAACGTAAAACGGAAAGGAAAGACACACTGAATTGTTGTGATATGATTCAGTATGATCTGTTTTTCGGCATAAGGCTGCACAGAGGTGTTTCTTAGCATTGTGTGTGTACATTGTTACTATTTTCATACATCAAATCGTTTACGTTTCCTGATGTTCACAGTCATCTCTCTCATGTGACAAGTATCCCTGCTTCTTACCATCTGATTACAGTGACATTGTCTCGTTGTAACCTTTCTAGGAAAGCCGTGTCATAGCAGTTCTTGTCTCTGCTTATCAGCTTTAATCGAGACGGGTGATAGTGGCCCACTGTGACTGTCCCTCTATATTGTTTAGCCAAGTAATCCATTGCGTCTTTCAGTCATACAGAAATTTGCAATAACAATAATCCTGACCACATATTGCGGATCGATTCCGCAGTACCGGAACCACCCATCACAACGGAAGGTCGTGGACACAATATAACTTGGTTTGGGCAAATTGAGTGAGTGAGTGAGTGAATGTCCTCATATCACATCTTATTCTTCACTCATGATTTTCGCCATACAGTCTACTTTTAGAACAGTAACATCTACTTGGTGGGTGAACTGGCTAAAGCGCCAGGCTAGTGATACAGCGAGCTTGAGGTGACGGGATCGAGCCCACCTGTGACCGGGTGTAAAATCCTTGGAGTCAACTTTGTGTGCACACTCTTTCAGTGTTGTCACAACCCCTAGTGTACAGTACACAACCCTGTGTACTTAAAAGAACCCACGAATCCGTTGGTATTTGACCAGATGGTGGCCACATGAATACGTGCAAACACCAAGATGCGGGTACAGCAACGTGCAGTGAACTTGGACAAAGTACTGTGACTATATATCCCAGTCCACCCAGCTGTGAATGGGTACCTAACTGTGAAAGCCACACTAACTCGGTGCGCCTAGTGGCAAGAGTTGTAGTGCAAGAGTTGTATGATCCCCAGGGAGTTGAGATTGATAAAACGACGTTCCGTTGAGATTGACATCCAGTGATCGAGGGAAAAAACAAAGCGCCTTTGAGCTGGATATCGGCGCTATACAAATGTTAGTATGTATGCTCTCCCAAAAAAGAAACGCATATGGGAATTTCAACTGTATTTATATGTTTATTTTGAAACATCTTGTAGGCTTTATGAGTCAATGAAATATAGCGAAATTGCACACTGGGAATGAAGACTTATCCGTCTTTGGCACCAACTCGAGGAAAGTCAGTTTGAGTGTCACATGGACACGTGTGGTGGCGCTGAAGTCAATACGTCGTGTGACCACCGTGGGCATCCAGAACTGCACGGCATCACCTCGGCATCGAACGAATAAGTCTCAGAATCTCGTGTTGCCCAATCGCAGCCCACTCTGCCTGTAGTGCCTGTGCGAGTTGCTGAAGTGTCTGGGGCTGAGGGTTACGGCGTCGCACCCGTCTGTCCAGGGCATCCCACAGATGTTCGATCGGGTTTAAGTCCGGTGATCTTGAGGGCCATGGGAGCACATTGATGTTGTGGTTCTGGAGGAAGTCTCTAGTGTGACGTGCTGTGTGGAGCCTGGCATTGTCCTGTTGAAACAACTCCCTCTGGCGATCAATGATTGGAAGGAGGTGTGGGCGTAGGATTTCGTCACAGTACCGTTGTGCTGTCAGGTTGCCCTGGATCATCACCAAATCACTTCTCCTACGGCAGGTGATCGCTCCCCACATCATAACACTTTCCCGGCCGAATCTGTCCACCTGGGGAACGCAAGCGTAGGCGAAACGTTCACGTCGACGTCTGTTCACCCGCATTCTTCCATCGCGTCGTTCCAATAGAAATCGTGATTCATCACTGAACCAGATTCTACGCCAATTCGGTAGGTTCAAGGCCTGACTGACTGACTGAGTTTGGTTTTACGCCGCTTTCAGCAATATTCCAGCAACATCACGGCGGGGACACCAGAAATGGGCTTCACACATTGTACCCATGTGGGGATTCGAACCCGGGTCTTCGGCGTGACGAGCCAACGCTTTAACCATTAGGCTACCCCACCGCCCCTTCCAGGCCTGAACGTTGGTGCACCATTGAACTCGATGTCGACGATGTTGTTGTCGAAGTACAGGGCCAAAATAAGGTCTTCTGGCACGTAAACCAGCTTCTCTCAACCTGTTACTGACGGTCTGTGCAGACAGCCTCTTCAATCCGGGTATTTGTCGAGCGGTACTGGTCGCCGTAGCTGTTCGATTACGCAGGTGATGTACCCGGATGTAGCGATCCTGCGCCGCAGTGGTCGCTCGAGGTCGCCCACTACGAGGGGCATCTGCTACCGAATTCTGCCGGCCATATCTCTCTCCCAGAGCCGTGAAATGGTGCTTTGGTGAACATTAATGCGTCGGGCAACTGCACGTTGAGACTGGCCAGCTTCAAGCCAACCAATGGCGATATGACGGTTGGCTTCACTTAGACGTGGCATTTTGCGTTCGTCAACAATATTCCAAATACAGTGAATAATCGACAGACAGCGATCAACCTTCTATACCCATCAATGAGACTATCTGATCCCAAACTTTCACGTGCATTGCATGTGAATTGTGAATTCTGTGACACTACACGCTGAAATTGAAAATCATGCTGTTAAATACGGGTATTTTACGGACGGTGCGTTTTGTTGTGATGTTTCAAAACATAAACACCATAGGACTCAAAAACAGAGCAAAACCGTTCATGATGCGTTTCTTCTTTGGGAGAGTATATGTATATATGTATATACTTAATTCTGCGTGGCTGAAAACATGTATTAAGCAATAGTAACCATATTTTCTGGTACCAACACCTCAAATCACATCAATACTTGGAGCGAATAAATGATTACGCGTGTACATTGCTTCTTACAATAGTCCAGCAAACTAAATAGATTCATTGTGTGTACTTAAACAGCGGAGTGCATGGGTTGATAGAGTGTTTCTGGTTTTGGATTCCATTTAAGTTTAGTAATATCATCGATAAATAATATATACGTCCTCCGGAGAGAGTAGTAAGTCCCAAAGTTTTCAAGGTAAATTTAAACCTACTATTATTTTTAATCGTAATATATATGTTCTTTTAAATTATGGCTTGATTATCTAAAATTGCTAACAGCTGAAGGGAGAGTGTAAATCCAGCTAGGGTCCACGCAGGAAGCAAATGTACTGTTATCCAAAGGGTCCTTATTTAACTCCGCCCTTTTACCTGACAGGTAGTTGTGTTACCTGTCAGTTATCCCACACCTTGGAGGGCGTTTCTTTACCGGAACTACGGTATACCCTCGAACTTCGGTCCTGACAATTCTGGATGTGCGAGAGGTACCGTGTCAGTACCCGAGGGCCCTTTGGACCTTTACCGTAGTTCCTCCAGCAACCACAAGACGATGATCTTCGTTCCACAGTTTTATTAACACTGCGTTGCTGGCCCAACCCACTCTATTTGTCACATAATTAAGAGACTTCAGCTGGAAAGCTTCAGTCTCAGTCGAAATGCTGGTGCTTTGAGTTTGTTTCTTAGTACGAAAGTAAGTGACAATCAGATGAGAGCTGATGCGCCCTAGACCCCAGGCTTGGGGTTCCTAGGAGCACACTCGTTCTCGGCTTCAGGTCTCGTACCACTCTCTCGTCTCTCAGCTTTGCTCCAGCTTAAACCTGGGTTCCTACGTCACAACCAACACCCTTTTCCATTTTTTCCATTGGTCAATAACCCATAACCTGACTATCTATCTATTCTACTCTCCCCTACCGTGAGGTGGATTCTCTCAGAGTCTCTCTCTCCCTAGCCATATATGACTTGTAGAGTACCAAGAACTGGTAGCTAGGTCCCCGGCCACGCCGCCCGTCTTGATAGTATAGTAGTTTTACCTTACCTAAGCTATGAGTCACTTCACCTTGCCCCCATCAGCCCTAACGACCTACTTTCATGTTTATTACCTTCGTTACTGACTTTCACTTTACAACGTTATTAATCACTTCATATCTTAAATATATTATTAAATCCTCTCATAATTTGTATCTTATCACCTCTTAATCACCTGTTATTAATAATGTCAATTGTATATCTATTATTGCAGCAAGTACCATAATCGCATGCCTATATGAATGAATATCTGTCAAAAGAATTTTAATTTCTAATTTTATTGATCTATGATAATCACTGCCCTAGAACTCTCTGTTCCAAATCATCATCCACTCTATCTCCTATCGATCTACCTACCCCCTTCGAATCGATCCATAGATCTCTACAAAATGTGCCTTGATGAACTCCAAGAAGCATATTCTGCCTTGTCTGAAAGGAGCCCGGTAATCATCCTAGGCGACTTTAATGCAAAGATTGCAGGCCCAAGAGCAAACGTTAACCTTGACCAAAGAGCTAGCATGCTCGGGGAGCTCTTGTCAGAAAATTCACTAATCTCTATCAACATGCAGAGCTTCTGCACAGGCCCAGTGAATACCTTCTATGCATATACAGGAGGCCCCCAGACACCAATTGACCACATCGTAGTACCAACTGAGCTTATGTATATCATCCACTCGGCAGAAGTGATTGATGATAATCCACTCAACGTTTCCGACCATCACCCAGTTGTATGCCTTCTTGCAATTGACCTACCTAGTCAACCAGCTGCAAATCCTCCTATACGTAGACCAGCTTGGAACAAAGCCCTCCAGAACGGCTCAATCAAGGACTACACACATGCAGTCTCTAACTCCCTCTGGGGTAAGCAGCTGCCAGCTCTAGACTGTGACAGGGAAGATATTGAACACCTTACTGATATAATTACTATGGCCCTCACTATGGCTGCGTCTGACTGTCTTCCAGTGAGACATTTCAGGCGTTATCTAAGACCATACTGGAAGGAACAAGTGAAAGACTTCCACGACCTGATGTTATCTTACAGACACAAATGGATTCTAGATGGGAGACCTAGAGGCATGACTTACACTAGCTTCCGTGACTACAAGAAATCCAAAGACAAATTTCGAGCTGCTATGAAAGAAGCTGCAGCACTTTATGAAACAGAGCACTTCAACAATCTTGATAAACTATATGACATTGACCAGAAAACATTCTGGGCTCTCCTCAACAACAGAAACAAGAAATCACACATTTCAACCATAAGTGTATCAGGGAACCATACCACAGATTCCTTGGAAATCTGCCATGCACTCGCTGACCACATGAAGACTATATTCAGCAAAGGGGTAGATGATCACTTTGACCAGAACTTTAAAGACCATCTAGAAGGCAGAGTTGCTGAACTAAAACATTGTACCTCTAACAAGATAATCGACGTCAAGTGCCTTCTGACCTCTCAGTCTGAGGTAAGCAAGCTTTGCAAATCTCTGAAAAACAACAAGGCCTGTGGTTTTGATGGAATCTACTATGAACACTTGAAACATGGAGGCTCAACTCTTCATTATTATCTTTCTGAATTATTCAACAGAATAATCACTACAGGTTCTATCCCATCCCAGTGGAAGAAAGGTATCATCATCCCAATCTTCAAAGGCGGAGGCAAACCAAGGACGTCCCCAGATTCATATAGAGGAGTGACTTTGTTGCCTGTTATGTCAAAACTTTTCGAACAGGTCATAGCGAACCGGATCCCACAATTCCAAGACTCCACGGATTTCCTGATCCTCTGCAATGCGGCTTCCAGAAAAGCCTCTCGTCGTCTCTTCATGCATCATTCCTCCTTCAGGAGACAGTCTACCACTACAAGGAACGGAATGACTCTCTGAAAGTGGTGTTCTTGGACAGTAGTAAAGCCTTCGACACTGTGTGGCATGATGGGCTACTCTGGAAGTTGAAGGAGTTGAACATTCATCCAGGTGTGTGGCGCATTTTCTGCAACACATACCTGGAATGGAAAGTTGTGTTCTTGCCAATAATACTTACTCATCCTGGTTTAAACTCGACCGTGGGTGAGACAAGGTAGCGTCCTTTCTGCTAAACTCTACTTGGTTTACATCAACGAGCTTCTGACAAACCTATCACATCTTAAGAAGGGAGCATTCGTACTGGATCTCCACCTCGCTGCTCCAACTCAGGCAGATGATATCTCACTGATCAGCCCTATCACAGCTCATCTACAATCTATGGTAACAGAGTGCCAGAACTACAGTGCCAAATGGCAGTTCACATTCTCTCCTTCAAAAAGCAACGTATTGGTCTTCAATCCGCAAAAAAAACCAAGTGCAATATCAAACTTTACGGAAAGAAGTTACCTGAAGTGGACAACACAAAGCATCTTGGCATTCTTCTCGACTCACACCTTAGCAGCCACACTCGAACATCAAACGCAAGTTCGAAGATGAAGTCAGCTGCAATGATGCTGATGAAATCAGGCCTACACAACAGTGGGCTGAATCCAATTACCAGCTCCAATCTTGTCAAGTTCAGGTGTCTACCCAAAGCCTTGTTTGGGTGCGAATTGTGGTCAGGTTTGAAAAGAGCGACATTATCACTGTCGAAAGGGCACAACGATTCTGTTTAAAGATGTGTCAGGGGCTCCCAAGAACTACTAGATCTGACATATGTAACTCCCTGATTGGATGGTACTCGGCAGAATCACATATTGACACAAAGAAGCTGTTTTTTCTTGGCTCCTTGTGTAACAGTAAGAAGCACCTACTTTGCTTCAAACTCTTTATCTCACGCCTGTTTGCGTTTAGAAACTGCATATTGAAGACAAGAACAGGATTTATACCAGATATAGTTCATGTACTTGAAAAATACAAACTGAGGCACTTTCTCGAGAATTTTGTCTCCTCCGGCATCTTCATGAGTCAACTCTCCTGGAAGAAGATTGTAAAAGACTCTGTCATGGAATACGAGAAGTCCTCCTGGAACCAACGAATGACATCAGATCCAGATCTCAGACACTTCAGGACATTACACCCTCGATAGAGCCACACCCAGCTTGGCTACTTGCCAAAAGATACCCCTCCTTGAAACAACAATGCATCTTCACAGTACAATTGTGTGCTCTTTGGCGTCCTCACCGTGTGTATGGACCTTGTGATAAATGTAGTGTGAACTGTGCAGACCCCTTGATCCATGTCCTAACAGCGTGTGAAGCTTGTGCTGGCTGCAGAGACCAACTCTGGTGTGACATTATCAACGTGGGCCCGGTGGAGTTGAGCGTGCAACTTCACAACAAGACTGATATGGACCTGGTGTGCAGCCTACTTTCCTGCCGCCCCCCCAGTACTGCTCTCTGGCGAGGAGACTGAGCTGTACACACTGACTGTTGTTAACGGACTCTACGCGACCTGTAATGCATGAATATTCTATGCGCTTCTCTTGTTAACTTAAAACTATCTTAACTTTTCTCGCATTCCCTTGTACTCTCCATTGGAGGAATAAAAGTGTATATATAATACTGTAAGTCGCCATGGTCCCTAGTATGGTGATCTACCTTCAGTTGTTGGCAATCTATAGCCTGTTTTTACATTGTCTCGTCATTTCTAATTCAAATCGTTTAGATGTTAGATTGAAATACTAGTTTTAAATGAATATCTGTCAAAAGAATTTTAATTTCTAATTTTATTGATCTATGATATAATCATTAATTCTTCTCGTCTGAAATGGCTGAAATATTGCCGATGTGGCGATAAATATTAACTCACTCACTCACTGAATAATATATCATTTTTAATCACATCCAGACATTGCCATCATCACATCTTCGCAGTCTCGACATGCAGCAAAACGTATACTACTCAAAGTTTTAAAGGATTGCCACTTTAAATGATAATGCATCAACATTCTCACCATCTGTTGAGGTAGCCAAAGACGGTATTGCGTGAAGACACATTTAATGAACATAAGTCCGTTGTCATTGGCCACAATTCAGATTATAGTTTTGCTTTACCTGAAATATATGATAAACAAATTTGGCTAAGTTGAAGGTTAATACCTTGGTTTGTAAACCTCTGTCATTTTTGCAAAAAGGACATAATCGGTTTTCTAAAGCTAATTTTGGTCGAGCCCCTCTTCCTTTCTCAATCATAAGTGAATGAGAAGATAATCGTAGTCGTGTCAAGGCTACCCTATAGTTTATAATATCAATTTGAGATAAATACGGTTTTCGTCACAGGTGATAATCTTAATCCAATATTTCATAATGCGTAACGATCTAATAGTAATCAATGGCAGTACGCCCATTTCACCATAGACAAAAGCTGATGGTGTTGAACTTTTAACACTCAGAACCTGCTTAATAAACTTTAAGTGGACCCTTTCGATAGCTGGCGCTTCCATAAATCCCCAAACTTCACAACCATAGCATAAAATTGGCAGTACTAAGCTTTTAAACAATTGATACTGCTGCGCAGGAGACATATATGGATTGGACAACAACAGCCTGCTCCGATAGAGTCTTTTGTGCCTGGGAAAAACTACCTGTTGCTGAGAAGACAATACCCAAATATTTGAAACTATTAACATTTTCTAGTACCTGATCACCATAATACCAGATTTCTCTTTTGGACAATCTACCCCCTTTTCTGAAAATAACAACCTTAGTTTTATCTGTATTAACATTGATTGATGGCCCATTTGTCGCAATATCTCTGTAAAAAACAAGACCACGTTGTAAGCCTTCGATGGATTCACTGAACAAGACCATATCAACAGCAAATAATAACATTAATAACTTAATGCAAAACACTGCCATGCCAATATCATTGCAAGCAGAGAATCAGACACAATATCATTTATAAACAATGAAAATAATATAGGCGATAATTTTTCCCCTTGCCTGACACCTATACTTGATGAAAAGAACTCTGAATACCTATTTCCAGGAAGTTTAACACAAGAGGAGACATCCATGTATATATTTTTGATTAATGATAGAAATTTAGAATTAATACCCAAAGAATACAATTTAAACCAAAGAGCTTGCCTGTCAACATAGTCAAAAGCCTTTCGAAAATCTACAAACACACAATATAATTTCACCCCTTTACTCAAGGCTAAATTTATCAATCCGTGAAGAATAAACATACAATAAGCCGTGCTATAACTCTTTCTAAAACCAAACTGTTCTTCTACCAAGAGGTAGTAGTTATCACACCACTGTTTAACTCTGTTATTTAGAACACTCGTAAACAACTTGCTGACACAAGAAAGAAGTGTAATCCCTCAATAATTATCTGCAACTAATTTACTTCTTATTTTATGAATGGGGACAATAACGCCCTTTCTCCATTCAGAGGGTTATTTACAAGATGTTTAAATAGCATTAAATAACATAGCAATTACTGGAGATAAATATCTTCTCCGGCCTTAAGGAATTCATTAATAATGCCATCGTAACCTGCTGCTTTATTACACTTCAACTTACTAATTGCCACATGTACTTCAACCGCAGTAATGTCGCGGTCTAACTCGTGAACCCAGTGCTGGACCATACCATTGTCAGATTGCCTAATCACCTCGATGTATTCAGTTGGTGCAATTTTCTGTAGGAAATGTTTTAAATAATGTTGTCTGGAAATGATGTGCAATGACTCAGTCACGATACCTCCAAGCACTGGTCCTTAAAACCCATAAGTGCAGGCATCTGTTCCTTTACAATAGAACTAAGGTACTACAGGATTTAGCCAATCACTGTGTATCGGGATATTTCAATCATTGTTTGTTGTTGCTACTATCAAAACTTGATCTTTGAGTAGTATGTTAAGACGTGAGATGTTTATACATGTTTTTCTCTACCTATATGAATATCAGAATGCGAGTATAAACACATTGCATTGATGGACAGTTGTGAAAAGAACTAGACAAAAATACGCATTTTCTAAAGAGAATAAACATTCTAATTACCTTAAAAACTAAATCTTGGGTAAATCCAGAACAGTCCGTACCCATGCGTCTGTAGTGAAGCCGACTAGATAATATCTACATACTACATATGACATTACCAAGTAACATTATTAGCTAATATATAATAATCAGCACCAAAGTACACATTATATTCAAGAGGGTTAAAACTATTGTGAATCTACTGGTTCGATTCCCAACATGGATGCCAATTTCTTATTTCCGCTGCCGTAATATTGCTGAAAATATTGATAAAGCGGCGTAAAACTAAACTCACTCACTCGATTGACAGAAGTTCTCAACTCTTCGCTGCAATGAAGCATTTTGAAAAACTAGTCTTCTACGTTCTGCAGTTGTTACGGTGTTTGTTTCCACCATTTGTCGAAGAGCACGTTCACGAGCTGCTTTTGGAAAATTAATTCCAAAATTGAAATTAGATTCCCGGTATCCATTGAGAAATATAGGATTTTCTATAGAGACCCTTCTGACTAAACTTTCTCGCCGAACTTCCTTAAAAGGATCATGACGATATCGATCCTGAGGCCTGACATAGTTGTAGATCCTCTTTCCTTTAAAAAGTATGTACCTCTTGTCATCTTTACTGGTATCAGCTGAGGGATCCGCATCCTCCTCACATATTGTCACATCTCCATTATTATCACCTGCGAGATCACATTTTGGACTCATGGCGACAGAAGCTTTCTTTGAATCATGAGACTCACTTTTACTTGGGTTGCTTGTTTGATTACTGTTTACCTGTTCAATGGTTGACGGGACACCTGTTTCGGGAACAGCCTTTTCTCGAATGACTGAGGTTAAATCCGTGGAACAAACAGGATCCTGGTTGTTGAATTCCACTTCATCAAACCCGGATGGAGGATTAGCTCGATATTCCATTCCTGCAACTGAATGT